AGGTAGGGCAGAAAATGACTTCTATACTTTTAAAATTTGCACAAAATTTAGGAGGTCTTTAGACCAAGCCAACTATATAATAAAAATTCTAGTTTTTATTGGCCAAATATGATTCACAAGTCCTATATTTTTTGAGCGCGTAATTTTTACTACTGTACTTCGTAAAACATATCAAATATATATAATACACATAACTATATAATGCAATGGTTAATGTACTGATTAAACATGGCAAAGAAATTAAATTTGGTTGGGAAGGGTTTCCAATTTATCATAAACAAACTTTAGAAGATTCTTTGTTTTTTTTTCAAAACCTGATTCTGAAAACGTGATTGCAAATAATGCAAATAAAATTGATGAAGTTTCATCATTTAACAACAATAGTTCATCTAATTCTAATATGAAAAGGTGCTTTACTGAGTTGGAAGAAGATAGTGAAAATGATCCATTATTTTCAGATTATGACGAATCAATTGAAAACCAGTCAGAATTATTTGAAAAAATGACAATGATGTTTCTAACGATGATGATGTTTTAGAGATTATAAAGAAAGTTAAGGTTAATGACTCATTAACTTGTAATAGTCCGATGAAAGTTCCATGTTATTCATCTAATTTAAGGAATCACCAGTAAGTACAACTTAAATGACTGTGAAATTAATTGTTACAAGAAAGAAAAAGGACAAAAAATTTAAAAACTCATGTCATGTGACATCAAATTTTTTTTGGGAATTTTACAAATTCCGCCCAGCGGGTGGTGAGAACCTAAATTTTATTTGTGTCCCCTTATATTTTACATATGTGCATATATAACACAAGACAAGATTGATTTGTGAGAATGATCGGATGATCTTATATTGATATAAAAAAAAGAAAAGAATTATTTTATATAACTTGGAAATATTTATTAACATTTAATTTAAAACCAAATATATTCTTTTAATATGCCACAGAAATCTTTATTTTATATTTTTCACCATAATGTCCTGGGAAAAAATAGGTATTATTAAACAGTCTTGCAATACGATATGCATCATTTGTATCATTTAATTTAACAAGAAATTTCGAGGTAACTGAGTATTTTGAACTAAAATTTGGTTTTTGTAAAACAACAATTAATTCAAAATAAAATAAATCCATTAAAAAAATTAATTATTAACAATGAAGACTTACTTTGGTAAAGGAAAAATATATTCTTGATTCCTAAGTGAAGGAAAATCAGATAAAAATTTTGATATAATTCTCGAACCAACATCCCTTGGAGTTCCTGTAATTATGACACTTTTTCCTTGACTTGGACCAAAGTTCATAACAGTACTTTTTTTATACATTTTCCATTCATTAAGCATTTCCTCATAACCAAAGTCTTGTGCTTTCAACTGTAATTATAATAATCATTATTTATAATAATCATAATAATATGGCAAGTTTTTTAACTTTTAATTTACATACAATAAAATTCATTTTCAATTGACCTCCACTACTTAAAAATTTAGTCGGTGCATACATATAAAAATTTTTTGCAAATGTAGTATTTCTGAATTGAACAATTGCTGATCCAGTGAGATTGAAAACGCGATCACGAAGCATTAAAACTTTGATTGATATATTAAGTGACTCATTAATAACATGAAATTAACCTATAATTATAATCTAAATAATAAGTAAATAAATATCTTACCATCATCAATACTTTTTTGATCACCATTTACTTCTTTTGACAAAAACAAAATATCATTAGTGATTACAGTATTTGCTAATCCATCGATCCTTATGAAACGACTTGTTGCCATCATGCCTGGATTAAGAACTCTTCTGGTGTTGGAATTTGTCAAATTTCCTGGTACTTTATCCCATTGCCTTAACATGGAAGAAGGGGGTGGGTTTGATTTTATTGTTATCATATTATTGCTTAATTTACTACGTTCTTTAAGTATACTTGAAAATGAGACGGGTGAAGCTGGTGAAGGGGAAGAGGCGGAAGGAAACAATAAAGATTCTAAGGCTTCTGGTTCTGATTTTGTTTGTTGTTGGTTCTTTTCGCTTTCAGTAGAAATCGTAATTTTTTCATTATCTGGTGACGATGATGGTGGTGGTAATGTTTCATTGGAATTATTGTTGTTAAAGTCGTCTAGTAATTTACTACTATTATATAAATATCTTGAAGTTATTGTTATTGTTTTTTGAAATTTTGAAATTGAAATCGGATGTTTAGATATTGTTGAATTGATGGTTGAAAAATATTTATTAAACATTTTTTCAGAAAAAATTTTTTAAGAGATCAAAGATGAATTGTGAATATTTTCAGCCAATCAAATTACACACATCGTGTAACGAAAGCTTTAATAATACACACCCCAACAAAAAGTATCGACTCAATGATCCGCCAAAATAATCGAATAAACGGGTAATACAAATACTCGTTTTTTTTTACTAAGCAAATCGATGCTGTGTATTAGTAAGAAAATGTTTGTTGAAATGATTAACATGATAATCTAAAATATCACATTCGGCCGATTGTTATTGATAATTATATGATGTTTAAAAGTCAAATTAAAATTTTTTGAAAATTTTTTGAAAAAGTAGCACTTAGAGCTATTTTAAGATACGATGTTTTAACACATCTTGGGAACTTAGAAAATGTTGCTCCGTTTAGTCTCAAATGTATATATATACATGTTCATAATTATTGATCGAATATTCATGGAGCATTAATACAAAACGTAAAAAAAATCGTAATGAATTTTTTATGCAAGACAATTATCATTATGCGTGAACAAACTTTAAAGGGCAAATACGGCTGAAATATCTAACCAAAACTAGATTTTTTTAAAAAAAAAAAGATTGAACTTTCAATTTGTTATTTCAATTAAAACATCATGTCTCAATTAACAGACTTTGAATAATTGGACATTGGGAAGCAGATGAAAGCGTTTGTGACATTGCTGGTGCACTCAATCATTCTCAGTCACAAGTAACTCATGCAATAAAAGCATTTAAGATCAAACTACTATTGCTCCCCAAAAAAATACAAATGAATTAATTTCTTATTTAATGGATGAATGGGTAAATCTTGATCATGATTATTTGCAAAAGTTAGTAGACAGCATTCCTTGAAGGGTCCAAGCTGTAATTGAATCAAAAGGAAACCAACAAAATATTGAATAAATTAATGAAATATTTATACTTTTTTGATACTTTTGATATAAATTTAATAAAGATTTATTATGTAAAAATATCATACAAACTGTTGATGAAAATTTTTTTTGTTATTTTTACGTTTTGTATTGATGCTCCATGAATATTCGATCAATAATTATGAACATGTATATATATACATTTGAGACTAAATGGAGCAACATTTTCTAAGTTCCCAAGATGTGTTAAAACATCATATCTTAAAATAGCTCTAAGTGCTACTTTTTCAAAAAATTTTCAAAAAATTTTAATTTGACTTTTAAACATCATATAATTATCAATAACAATCGGCCCAATGTGATATTTTAGATTATTATGTTTTCTTATTAATACACAACATCGATTTGTTTAGTAAAAAAACAAGTATTTGTATTACCTGTTTATTCGATTATTTTGGCGGATCATCAAGTGAGTCAATACTTTTTGTAGGGGTGTGTACTTATTATTATGTTCCATTGAAAAAATTCCGATTTTGTTAATATAAATTAATATTATTATTATTGTTGTGTTGTTGTTGTCGAGGATTTATTATTGGATTGTTGGAAAATCTTGGTGGGACAAGTATTTATCCAATTAGATTGGAAATCCTGGGATTGAAAGATGCCTTGATAAAAGTTCTTCAAGATTTTAATTTACAGGTGTGTATATTTTTTTTATTATAAAAAAATCATCATTATATTAAAATATTTTTGTTTATTTAGGCGTCATTGCAAGAAGGTTGTCAAAAAATTTTGGTTAATGACAGTGTTCGATGGCTAATCAACTTCACAAAGCACAGAAACGTGGCATTTCAATTGAAGGTTATTAGATGAGGTTTTTCCTCCAGAATATGTGTAAGAACTGATGCGAGAATATATTGATTATTTTCAATTTTAGAAAATTTACCATGTTCTATTTGTTCAGCACTTCTGATTGTAAGTTTATTTTTATAAATTCTATTTAATTAATATTATTTTTATTTTTATTGAACCAATTTTTATTTATCTAAAAATAAAAAAACACTACCCATCGACTTTAATACAGCAACAATTATATTTTCTGTCAACACACTTATCATGAATAATGTCTATTCAACAATGAAAATTTGACAACACTGCAAGATAGTATTAACAAACTTACCCTCAACAACAAAGGAGTAGGCTCAAAAGTTAGACATAATACTATAATAAGAGATCAGAGTAATTGACCTCAATGTCCCATATGTAACAACGATGCACATCATAATCATAATAATAAATCAAAAATCAAAATGCAGTCTCTTCTCCAAGAGGATACATTAACAGTTGTAGTCAACAAAATTTAAGAGATGACGATGGTATGTCACCAATGGTCACATTATGATTATAATTAACTTCGAAGTTTGAAGTTAATCTTAATTGAAAGAAAATTTTTTTATTTATATTTATATTTATGTAATTATTTTTTTTTTGTACTAATGAAAATAAACCAACAAAAAATGATTAACGTTTAGTTGATAGCTGGTGGTTTTATATTTAATAGTGGATATAATTTGTCTCTAACTTTTTTTATTTCTGGTATTGAATCATTCCTATTTATAATAATCAAATTAGTTATAAATAAATAGTATAAATTGTATAAAATTTTAAATCATAAAATACCAATCAGTATTAGTTAATATATCTTCAATTTGTAACATTTGTTCAGATTCTTCATTTTCAGCTGCTGAAGTAATTGTTAAGTATAATTGATCTGCTGTTGATCGTCTTATCTTTATATCATACATATATATAGACACAGGTATTAAAATGTCATCTTTAATAATTTTAATGATGATATAAATAAATTTTTTTTAGATCACCTTTGGAAATGGATGGATTAAAAGTGAAAGTAATTGAAATAATGCTCTATTTTTCACTGAACCGCTTAATGTAGTCATACCACAAAATCTAAAATTAAATTTTTTAACAATAAAAGGATATACATTTAATATATATATATATATATATATAATTATAATTATAAATAATATTTTTTAAACTTACACATGCATACAAGCCGTTAATTTTCTAATATCTTTGGTTTTTGTGCATATTTTCTTTGTGCACTCAAATAATTCCATGAAACTGGATCATTAAACTGGATCATTAATAAAATATTCATATTTTCTTGAGATAAATGATAATACAATAATCATACCTAAAATTATTTTGATCAATTTTTTGTAATATACCAGCCTCAAATAATAAATCTATAACTTCTAATAAAGGTATCACAATTCTATCCTGCTTTTCACATTTAATAAATATTTCAAGTAGTGTGTTATAAAATTCTATTAATGATAATGATTTATTTTCCAGTATTAAATTTATTGAATCATCATCATCATCATCGCCACCATCACTGTCATCATTATTATTATTATCATTATCATTATTACAATCATCCAAAGATATTGGAAGTTGATTTGCATATTCTACCAATGTGCTGCCTGAATATCTTATCTAGATTAATTGAAGATTGATCAATAAAAAAAAACTCAAAATGACAAATACTGTTAAATCAAAAAATATCTTACCAAAGA